GTTTTTCAGCTGCTGCCCATCACCTCTTGTCCACTCACTGGGTGCTAAAGTCTGTCTCCGTCTTCCTTAGTTCCCTCTCACCAGGTACTTATACATGTTGACAAGATCCTCCTGAGCTTTCTCTTCTGGAGGCTAAATAATCCCAGCTCCCTTGGGCTCTCTTCGTATGTCAGATGCTTCAAACCATTAATCATCTTAATCCTATCACTGAAAAGTTCAGCAGAGGGTTTGAGGGCATGCATCTTTGATTCTTCTCCTTTTACAATAGGCACAGAATGTTTGCTTTCTACTTTGCACTATTTTTTAAATGCAAGACGTAAATTTCATAACAAAACTCAAGTACCAAACAATAGAAACCAAGAATCTGACATGCAAAAAATTCTAAGAGAATTCAAAAATTCTCACAATTTAAAAAAATATTGTTTATCTTAAAAAAAAAAAAAGCAACGAGCTGCAAGTTTCTCTTATAAATAGTCTCGGTCACTCCAATTTTGCACCTACCATTTTGGAATTCTGTTTTTTGCTGGCTTTATTTTGCTTTTGCAGAGGAGTGGGGAACTCAACATCTTGAGTGGGGCTCCATGGAATGCTTTTTTTCATACATTATGATCACAAAGCAGCATGAAACCTTGAAGCTATCTGATGTAAAAATAAGGATAGTACCTTCTGTGGAAAGTAAAAAACATACCAGATGCCAAGAACAGAACTTCAGTAAGGTACTTTAAATGATCCACATATTACATGATAGGGTGATACAGGCCTGCATTTTGGTAGGTGTGAAAGGGTCTCAGGTACCCAAATACAGTTTTTCCTTATGTTCTTTTGATAATCTCACTGCTAATATGAGAAAACATGAGCAAGCAACAAGCCAATTGTCTCTATGACAAAATTTATTGTCCAGCCTTATTGTATTTTTCCATCACCACTTCCTCTTTCTTTTAATTCTTACAAAATAAAGTTATTTGCAAGCAGGTCAAGTTCCTGAATGCTTGTATGGAAATTTAGTTTAATTATTAAAGATAAAATGGTGAGAAAAATATCAGGGTTTCATGTTCACTGCATTGTTTAGGACAACTAATAAACAATGTAGCAAACACAGGAATAACGATAGTATGGAAAGTATTTTAAAATGTATGCATGTCTATATGTGACTAAGACTATTACATTACTACATTTGGACTCTTCCTAAGTGTATGTATAAGTTTCTGACTTGAATCAGTTAAATTATGGAGTTCTTCTTCCTGAGTATCCATACAAATGGACTAACGTGGCCTCAAAAGTATAAAAAAAAAAGTTACACACCTTCACATATTAAAGAGAATTTTTTGTAATAAACTTAAAAGAATATACTTATTTGGATAGTGTATATTTTTAAATATATATTAAAAGTAAACTTTTCAATCTTTAAATATACATGACAAAAAGCAGATCCATAAATAACAAATGACTGAACATTAGAGTTTTCCAGATTGCTTGAAGTGCTGTATCTCTATGGGACTTGAAAGGATGTGTTAATGTTTAGTTCCTCAATCAAATAATCAGAGGAACAACCATACATAAAGTCAAAAGCAATCAATTTAATAGCAAGATTTCAAAGACTTCATTTGACTCTTTGAAAGCTAACCAATTAATATACTTATTTTTTATTTTAAATATCACTGTCATAGGAAATCAAAACAGCACCGACAAATGTTCTTTTGATAAATGAGTTTTAGTACTAATGTAATGCAAATTAGTTTTGCCTTCAGCAAATGATGGAGACACCAAAGCTTCTATTTAAAGAAAGAAGACCTATGCACGTATTTACATGAATTTCATTAGCGTTCCATTATGTGTATGTAACAACAATATTAGTATTATTTTGAGAACTGAAATACTGTGGCTGTATCAAGTTTCAGCGTGTTGATCTGCATTGTCACATAAATTAATAGTGGTATTATCAGGAAGACAGATGAGGATCCTTCATCAACAGAAAATTATAGCACAGAGCATGCATCACATACAGCCAGTAATTTTAATATTCATGATGGAATCTTTTTTTCTTTTATGTTTGTGAAGGGTTGGGTGGCAGCATGGGACTCCACTGCTTAAAGCCCAGCAGTCAGGGCTGCTGCTGTCAAATGCACAACAGCTCACCCCTTTGCATCCGAGAACGCCTGAGCAAACCTGCCACCCAGTGACTTGAGCTGAGAACTGCCAGAGATGGAAGCGGTAGGCAGAAAATCCCTTTGCTCACACAGGAAGGAAAAAACCCCATAATGTAAGAATATGATATTATATGAATGAAACAGAAATACTGAAAGTGCATATTCCTTTTAATTACATCCCATATAAACCTTTTATTGGGTTAGCTGAATTTGTTAAAAATTCTATATTTGTTATTAATTACGTGCTGAATCACCGAATAACTACAAATCGCAATTCCAGACTTCAAATGCAATCCTACTGTCCCCTCTGTCCCGAGTGATGAAGACTGAGCTGCCCGTGGAAGAGGAACAGAGATTATCTGCACTTGCTTTGCATTTGAAAGCCCAGACATAAAGCTTAGGAATGCAAAACAAGAAGCTGCCCCTGCTAAAATAATTTCTACCAGTATTGATCAAGTGCAAAAGGAACACAACAAACCAAGAAATATCCTTCAGGAAGATGGAGTTACACACTGACAAATAAATTAATTGATGTTTGGATCTAACCTACTTAACTTTAACTGTCTAAGTGAATTAAGAATTAGTCACTCTTCAGCTACTTCTGCATCCTATGGAGTATCCATCCCTATAATCTATCGAAAGAGGAAATCTTCCAGCACAAGATTCAACACCCACATGAAGTGAACCACTGCTTTCTCTCTCTCTACAGACCTTCTATGGTCTACAGAGACCAAGCTAGCCTAGCAAAGCTAGGCTAATTTGTTTTTAAAATCAAGCACTTCAATAAAGTGTCTAAAATATTGTGGAGTTAATCAGAATTTGGGATCAGGAGATTCAGGACCACTGGCTATCTGGAAGATGAAACAGGTGGCTGGGAACCTAAATATTAAGTCAATCTTCACAGAGAATTACACCTTACATACCTGCTGAGGCCCTTATTTGGCCCCAGATTTGTTCACCTGAAGTGCTTTGCTAAAAAGTGCCCGAAAATTTGGATTACATTTCAGAATTTATTTCCCCTAAAAGAAAAAAATCCTATTTCCTTCTATTTTCATTATTAAGAGGAAAACCCAAAAGTGTATGTCAATGATATAAACACTTCTGTTCAACATATGACCAACACATGGAGAAGGTTCCTTTCTCTTGCATTACACGGTCTTGCATTACAAAGTCCTCTGGTAAAGGCATTTTTACCTACCTTCTACACCAAAATCACTGATTCATCAACACTTTCAGCCTGATTTTCCGTTTCATGGAACACAATTTCTTTGTGTGACTTCCGTTAGGTAACTAAAAGCAATCAACTAAATAAAATTTGACAAAACCAGAGTGGTTTATTTGCTCTTTTATAAGGTATACATTTAATAGGGCTTTACTCTTTTAGCTCTTACTTTGACTGACACTCAGACTCATTCCAGCCTTTATCTAAGGACAAACTAATGCCATTAGGAGGTGATTCGAGCTTCTTCAAGGCACTCCTATGTACTGATTAGTACCAAAGTGTAAATATATAAACCTATCAAAAGTGTGGCTTAATAGCCACATGCAGGAAATGTTTTGAATGATGCTAGTGTCCTAGTGTGGATCTACATATTTTGTAATTCCTGAGGCAACACAAAATACACTGCAAACTGCTTAGTACCCTGCTACTAAGATTGGACATAAGACTTTCGGGAGATTTATTGCAGAATAAATGTCTTTGGGTTTCAATGTTTTTCAGCTGATCTTAGCACAGTTCTACTGGCTTGTTGGACAAGGACTTGTCCTCTCAGTGAAAGAGAGCAGTGACTTCTTAGGGACGTTTACAACTCGGCAGGCTGAGGCAACTCTGACTCCTCAAAGGACTGGTTTGTTCCAAATCAGACTAGAATAGTTATGCTTGAAAAATCTTCTCACATGGAGATAAACAGACATTGAAAAAGAAAGAGAAAAAAAGAATCTCTTGGTCCATGGGAAATCAAACAATATTGCCAGCCTAGGAGAAAGGCTCTGCAGGAGGCGCTGTTATATGGTACATCATTTTGAACACGGAGCTGAAACTGAACATGGCCCCTGGCATTCCCGCATGCTACAGGCACCATTAGCAACCTTTTCTCTCCACATACGCAGTTCCTCTTGGGAGCACAAAAAAAAGGTATCTAAATTTGAGGATTTTTGTATCATTTAAACCCAGAACAACAGAATAAATATATACACGTGTGGGCAACCACTCTGAGGTTGTTGTTGAGTATTAGGTAAATTAGCATGTGATTAGACATAACCAGAAGGGATTTCTACTCAAGGTATTAATTTTGAATAAGCCTGATAGAAGACTGAAAAGATAACTATATATGCAAACATGAAAGATCTATGATTCTTCTTTCTATGTGCCAAAATGAGTGTCTTTGTATTAACTTGTTTAGCCTTCACACAAACTCTTCTTGCTCAGTGTTTACAGACTGTTTGACTCCTACCCACCATCTGGCCCGGACTTGTGCCAAATTCCAGAAATGTTGATGAGAAAAACATGGGTAAGTAAAAGTGAATGCATATGCACACTTTTTTGAGATATTTTGTACCCTGTTTACAGTCAGGCTACCTACTTACCAGCTATATTCACTATTAATCAGAGTGGGATTTAACTGAGGTACCAAAATACTTATGTCGATTTAGATACCCGATTTCAGGTATCTACCTGCAAGTGTCTACATGTCTGTAAGGTGTCTAAATTGTAATTTTATTTTATGTTCTTAGCCTACTGTGTTTTTCTAGACCTGAACCAACACAATAGAAAAAGTAAAACAGAAAAGACAGCTATTAACAATAAAGAAAACTAGGCTTTCACGTATTAAATAAGGATCTATAGTATCTTACCATAACATTCCTTTCATAATGTTCGTGCTCTTTCTCAAAATCTATTACAAAGCCATTTAGAGACCAAATAAATGTCAGGTCTAATGTGGGATCATGGGATGCAATGCATTGCATGGTAGCATTCTCTCCAACGGTGACATCAACATTCAACGGAGCTAAAGTAATCCTTGTAGCTTCTGTGAAGTTAACAGCAAACATGGAAAATTCCAATAAATAAATGTTTATCCGAATGTAAGCTCAGCTCCATAACTGTTTGATTATACATTAACCGCTCCCTCAAACTCTAGTTTACATGTTATTCATGCAGCTACATTTCAAAGGACCAAACTAAAGAGAACAAAGGAAAACTTTTACAACTGAAATGCCTAACTTCTATTTAGCTGTCCTTTGAAAATAGCTGTTTCAGTCTCTGAATCACGTTACTGACTATGTAAAGCTTTTTTTATTCATTGACTATATCTCAGGTAGAAAGAAGACAGATGATGAATCTTACGTGACTTGTGTTGCATTTCTTGTTTTAATTATAATATTTCTTATGTTTTAAAACCTGTCTCTTTAATGAATGGAAAGTTCTACTCAGTTGTCAGGCTGAGTCAGATTTCCATTAGAGCTTTGCAGGGACTGAGATCTTAATTTATCTACTGAGAAACAATATAATGGATGCATAACAAACTATGCAAATAGCTACATGTGGAAAGGAAGAGAAAAAAATACAACAAAAGGAAGAAAGCTGTATATCCCCCAGAAATGCCTGTTATTATTACAGAAACAAAAAAAGGCAGAGATTTCATGATACTTGCTAGAGATCTTGGTACATGCATCAAACTCATATAGCAAAATAGCAACACTGTTCTGGAAGGGACTCACTGGATCACTGAGACCTGTTTCTTTTCTTTCAAATATTACCATAAAACAAAAAGCCACAGAATATCTTCCTCATGCCATGACATATAATGTCTCTCCCACCAATATGACAGTGGGAGTAGGGTACCAAAACCTGGAAGACAATAGCCATGAGAAAAGAGCTATTGCTACTAGGTAAGACCTAGGTTTGAGCATGCTCCAAGGAGCACACTACACCCCACCATACACAGAACAGCAAAACATCCTCAATAAAGCCAGCATTTCTTGTCCATTTGCCTTGGTGAGAAACCTTCCCCCAGACCCTACTCTAGTAATCTAAAACCTGCTTAATACTGAGACGATGAGGATGGCACAACTACTGGCTTTTGCAGAATGGAGTATCTCATAGTGCATTGGTGCAACCTGTTAACATCTGATCTCTAAATTCCTAGCTATAGACACACGCTTAGGAGACCTGCTCCATTCTAGCGTTGTGCCTGTACGTTCAGCATTCGGTTCTACCATCAGTGATTTTCTAAATGTTTACATAAAGTACTCTACCACTCTAAGAAGTTGCTGAAAGAGTGGTCCAGTGGCAGTGAACAAACAGCGTGTGGGAAAAACCATCAGACTTTGCAGTGCCTGTCAGCTTCAGAATTAACTTTTTAATTTTCTGTAGTCATGAGCAATGTCTGAGAAGTTTTATGGACCACACAATGTGCTTGGGAATACCATTTTCAAAGCATTCTTCGTCAACCCTCATCATTGTCCACAATGTGAAAATAACTTTGAAATATGTCATCTGACCCTTCTGTTTCTGCTGTGATGCAAGGGAGATGTGTTAGTCTTTTGGTTTTCCTTTTTAGACGCATCAGAGCAGAATTCTCCAAAATTTTAACATTCTTTATACCCAGTTTATAAGTTTTATAAACATATGGTTTAAGTGTTTCACTGTGCGAACTCAGTATGCAAATGTTATTCCTGATTCTAGAAAGTATGCTATAATTATTAAGGGGCTGGATATTTATTTACATAACCTTTCAAAATAATGAAATGCCTAAGGGTAATATTAAGACATATAAAACTGCAGAACATGATAAAAAGTAACTGCAAACATTAAACAAATCTGATTAATCAAAAAAAAAAAGTTTTACAATTCATTTGGTACAGTAAATTTGGTATAAATCAGCCAGAAAAATGTTTTCATATTATCTGATGATACAGGTTAATTCTTACATTACTACATCAATATTGTGGCATTGAGCTGTCACATCCAGCATGATTTCTGGAACAGGCATTAAAAAATGTATTTGAAAAATGACTCTTCTACTATCAGTGATACTTGATAGACGTAGCTGTTCATGAATGTCATCTTTCCTATCTGTATTCTACAGCTATTTATTTATTTGACATTGGATTTAAAATACACAATTAAGGATATCAGTACTTAATCAGTAAATACTAATACCCATAAAGGAAGTGAATTTAGTAGTGCAACCATATGGCTATATGCCCCTATCTCACAAATTTAATGTATGTTTCTTTAAGTGCAATGCTCTCTCAAACTTGCTTACCCTACCAGAAAAAAAAAAGAAAAGAAAAACTAATGAAGGTCAGTAAGAGTCCCTTTTCTCTGAGTCATGGCCCCAGAATCACACCTTAGCCTGAGTGCTAAGCTACCAAATTGAATGAATGCATTAAAATGTGTCAATTTAATGGATCAGTTTTAATAATCTCCTACGGAAAAATCACCCCTGAAAACTGAGATACAGTCTCAGAACTGGTGCAAACATACCCGGTTTCTACTGAGCAATATGCTTTAAAAGCATCAGTTCATTGTTTAATGAGCAATTAAATTAGAAAGAAAAGATATAAAATGGCTTGCAAAAGTAGTGCAATGCTGGAACAAAAATTAGTGATTTCGAATTAAGGGATTCTACCTGAAACAAACTAATGCAATTCAGAGGTTTACCTGTCATTTCTAGAACACCAGTGCTATTAGCTTTTCCTCGGTTATTTTCTGCAAAACAGGTGTAGCGACCTTCATCCAGCTTTGTAATATTGATAATTTCCAGGCTCCCATCATCCCAGATACGTATGCTATTGAAAGTGCAAAAAATACATCAAGAGAAATTAGGTTTTTATATTAGAAAGCAATATTTTCAGTAGAACTGTAGTAAGTGAAAGGACAAACCACAGACATCTCTTGGAAGATCACATCTAACTACTGCACTTATAAACACTCCTATAGTAAAAAATATTTACATAGACTGTGGCATGATTAGATGCCTCACATTGCTGGAGCAAGAGAGTGTACTTTTATTCATTTGTAGGCATCCAAATATTTTTCTTACAGTTTTGTTATCTAATTCCATTCTGAAATGTGAACAGCACCTAACAGACTGGTTAAAGTTGGATACCCTGCTAGCTATTTGGAGCTACACTGCTAGTAACATTTTGGGATATCATCTTCCTGAAACTACACATTCTCCTGCCCCTGAAATCTGCAAAAGTGAGAACTAGCCTACAGGATAAATAGAAACATAAGGCAGAATTTTTAAGATTCACAGTGTCCACTAACAGCCAATACTAACCGGCTCCCATTTACAAGCAATTCTGTTCCTTTGCTCCATGAGAATTTTGGCTTAGGAGCAGCTTTAGGCTTGCATTCAATGATTACACGGCCCCCTTTAGCTGCTAGGATTTTCTTCTTCATAGGGTTCAGTTCGAAAGTAGGAGGTGAAGCTGAAGGCAAAAATTAACACAAGTACTGCTGTTAGTGATTTTTCTGCAGAATACAATTTGTTTGCAACATGAAGGTGAATGACAGAACTATTGACTTGTATACAAGTGTCCATTATTCAGACCAGTGAGAAAAATATTAATGATACAGAGATGTGGTGAGAAGTAGATGGCAACCTAAAAGAAACAGAAAAAATCATTATGTAGTTCTATGCTGTGTTACACCAGAGGTTTCTTTCTGTTGATTTCTGAACCTCCATCTAAGTTTAATCTGACAAGATCAAAGGCCCTGGAAATCAACAGAAAGTTCCTCCCTTTCAAAGGCCTTTTGATCAGTCCTAATAAAACTTAGATTCCTAGAGCCCAACTTCTGCAAATAGCTGCTCACTCGATATACTTTCAAATAATAGTTTGGTTTACTTTTCAGTGGTTTTAACCCCCCTCTAGCAACTTTAAGGTTGTGCCCTTCTTCCTCATCGTAGTTTTCTGTTTGGCCAGCTGGCCTTAGGTGCACTCTCAGATGTACAAGAGTAATGAGACATGACTGTAGCAAGCACCACACTTATGTGTCTGAGGTCAGACCTTTGCTTACTAATTTTCTCTTTATTTGTAACCAAATAAAAGAAAAAATGCTTTTAATTATTTTGCATCTCGGCGCACCATCATTGTTAATCATGCCAGCAAGTGTGTGCACAGCTTGAGGAAATAGGGCTGTTCGTTACTTACAGCAGTACAGAGAAAAACTCTGATAAACATCCACATCTTACCAACACTGAATTTTGAAAATGTGCATGCAAAAAGTGCTTGTTTCTGGGTAATCCAGGCTGGCAGTGAGTACATAGTAATGGAAGAACAGTGAAGGACGAAGTATTGTTGTGCAATAGGTTGGGGAAGTCGAGAATAGCTCTTGGGAAAGTCTGAAGGCAAGTGTGAGATGGAAAGAACCCAGGATAACTACTGCAGGGAAATCTCCTAGGAAAGCCATGTCATACAGCCAGTATGCCTGCTCTAATGACATCAGTAAACATGTCAGAAATTGTTTTAAGCCTGAGCACTCTGGATCTGAAAGGCAAACTTTCAACAGGGTGCTCCTTAGGAAAACACAAAGGATTAATATCTATATCCAGCCATGAAACGGGACAGCTATATTGCACACAAACTTTGCAGCTCATCTGAATGGGTTGTAGAAGACAAAAGCGAAGGGGAGAGCGAAGAGGAAGAGCTTCAAAGGCCTGGTGACTGACAGCATGGTTTCTAAATAAGCAGATTTTGCCCCACAGAGGAGTGAGCATAGGTGAGCAGAAAAGAGAACACTTCTCAACCAGTTTTGCAAGCTTGGGAGGGTAGTCAGCAACTCCACGCGCTTCATTTAATTTCTGCACTACCAGTTCCTCTGAGGGGTAACAGCAGCAAGCAAACATCAGAAATAACACAGCAAACATTCCCCATAAATTAGTAACTTGATTGCTCAAGTCATTGCCAAAACCCAGCTAGGGAGCTCAAATGAACCCCACCTCACCTAGATTCAGTGAGGGTTCTTAGCTTTACCCTCACAGGAATCTGTTACCAAACAATGCTTGCAAATACGACTGCTATCTTACTTAAACCTGAAATAGGAAATAGAGCAAATAATCCCACTGACCCACAATCTTCAGTTCAGCATTTGCATAAATAATTCCATGCGTGTTTTCTGCTATACATTGGTACATGCCGGCATCGTCAAAGCTCAGACTTTGCATTCTTAGTTCACCTTTCCGGAACTAAAACACAGAATCAATAAAACAACAAGATATTCATATAGACTACATATGCTGAAGAACCCATCCACATTTCTTCATTTTTTTTTTTAGTGACAGTGTTCAGAAGAGAGTCCCTCACACAACATTCAGGCACCGATGAGATTTTATTTTATCCATGTTACATTTCAGTCTTTGTGACAATGTGTTCACCTTCTTTTTTAAAGAAAGATTCAGTGTTGATTGATATTTTTCTGGAAAATTCATAGCTGAGCAGCACTAGACACACCTATTCTTCAGTCCACTGTTACCATACCAATGCAAACACTACTGATTCAGAAATAAGAAACAAGAAATTAAATTCATTTTATGCACATAAGCTTTGTTTCGCCATGCTCAGTGTTCAGTATGTTATATTGTATGTACGTTGTTTTACAACAGTAAACGGTCAAAGCAAGTCCCAATGAGGTAGTTTTTCAGAAGATTCTTCTGGGAGGTAGTATAAGCTATTTTTTATTACTTTGTTGTAATATAAAAAGAAAATTTAGGAAATCAAAATGAAGTAATTGATCTATTTCTAAAAAACTGTGTATAAAAATGCACGAAGTGTGGTGAGATATTTTGTAAATTACAAATAGATGTCAGTTGGTTTTTGAAAGATCATGTTAATAAGTTCTGTTTTCTTGTGAAAATGAAGCTGAAAAGCTTTAAACTTTGTATATGAGTCGACTGGAGTGCACGGAGTAGTGGAAGATTAAAAGAATACTATTTATCTGAAAAAAGAATAGATTAAAGGAATCATTTCCTGTACTGTTTTACTGAAAAACATTTGAATCAGATTTTCTACAAGAAACCTTTGTTTTGCACTAAGTGAAATACCTAATTAAAAAATTATCTGATTTAGAAACAAGCTATATTCTCAAGGCAATTTAAATATTTTTGCTATTTTCCATTTGGAAATCATCTCGTGATATCAATACACAGCATAATCTTCTGGCGTACTACTGGAGAATTACACACCGCTTTCTGCAATCCAGTATGCAGATTTTGTCAGCGAAAGCCAAGTTCAGTGGGGACCGGCAAGCAATTAACTTGCTAAATTACTTGTTTGTAATAACTACAGAAGCTAGAAAACAGCATTGTTTTTTCTGGTGTAAGCCATCTCCATATGGCAGATGGTGTTATCCCTGTTAGCCCTCCAACCTCCGACATTTTCCTTAAGATACGCAGCCAAAACAACGCTGCCTCATTGTCTTTTTTTGTTTGCTGCCAAGATCAGTGTCACCACAGCTCAACAGATGCAGCGTTACATTGTGCCCTCTTGTATTCTCTTTGTTCTTTAATGGCTCATCATCCAGTATAAGCAATGGATATTTAATATGTTGTTGAAATGCCTGGGCAGAAAATCTACTTCGTTTAAACAAAATATCCAATGCAATAAACTTAAATTATCAAATGGTGCTCATTTAAACGTCACATCACCTAGAATAATGGGATTATGCAATATTCTGTTGCTAGAAAAAATACGAAAAAGTACATGATATAGGAACACCACTGATCATTTAAAAATTCTTCTTTCTTCTCTTGTCTCTACTGACTCCATTTTTTCTTACATTTTTAAACACACTCATGTTTAATGTGGTAAAAAGGATTATTTTTAGAGAGAAGCTGATAGACATTTTTTATCCAGGGAGAAGAACATAGCATTTACTTAAAAAGGCCTGGAGAAAAAGGGATATCCACCTCTCAGACATGTAGTAAAAAGGCAAGTTCATAACTCAGAGCTGAATATTAAATAGCCTGAAGAAATGCATTTCGAAACTGAAGATTGAGATAAAACTTTAAAAAATAGATTTTAATCCCTAATGCAAGTGGAATCAGCAAATATTTGTATCATTATAATTAATTTTCTCTTAACCTTTTAATAATGCATGCTTCAAAAAATCATTTCCATCAGCTAACCAATCAATCCTGTGTTAACTATGGCAACATACTTACCGAGGCACCGTTCTTCAACCATCTAATTGTTGGAATAGGCTTGCCTGTAGCTACACAAGGCCAGTATAGGTCACTGCCTATATCCTTCTCTGTGTCATTGATATGTTCTACCCACTCAGGAGAGGCTGAAGAATAGAAAACGTGATGCCTTGTAAACATAGCAGATACATATTTAATTAGCATTACAATCTATTAATTCCACTGCTTTTTCCATGGTACTTCAGAGGCCACACAAAGTAGTGATGATAGCTCAGCAACACACCAGCGCAAGAAAGAATGAAGTGAAGATGTTTTTGTCTTACCACATAGACTCAGAATAACTTCAAGCTATTTTTTATGAGAAGAAAATGTGGAACTGAAATAATGCTTCATAAATGTCCAAAGATATAAGATGTTACTGCTTACAGTGACCTGTGGCAATTATTCAGTAATGTCATAAAAATGATAGCTAAATTACATGAAATTGTGCAAAATCATCTATGTACTGAAAGGGTCTCCAAGAAAAATATTCTCTTGGTCCAGAGAAGATATTTAAGAAATTAATATTGAAAATGTCCCAGCTTTTAGTAAGCAAACGAATTTATTTATTAGCCTTACCTATAACAACCAGTAACAACCTTCCCACACCGATTTTGAATTTATCCCACTGAAGTTCAAGCACTTAACTGAGGATCTTAACTCAGGAAATGTTCTGTACAGTCAATGAAAAGAGACAGAAATCTTCTGAACGTAATTCAGAAGTTATGTATGGTCTTTTCATGTCACAGTTTTGTGGCATAAGTCTCAGTCAAGGAGTCAGGTTATGTGGGATGATTCCACTGTGAGCAATAAGATACAATTTTTTGGTTCCCTCACTTAACCAAATGCATGAGGGGAAGGGACAGAGGCTGAAGGAATAAAGAATTGACTGTAGCTAATAAGAGATCTAAGACAGTTAGAAAAGACAAATGAAATGAGGAAACTAGAAAGCATAAAAAATCTAATGGTCTCTTTTTCCTCCTGGCTGTTTTTTCATTTCAAGCACTCTAAATGTATTTAATTTCCATTATGCATAATTATATTAATACTAACAGACATGGCTGTCAAGGTGTATATACAGCTATCATAACCAGACAAATTGAGTAGTTGTTCAATTAATACACAAATGTTATCCCTGGCATTCAGTGCATGAGTTTTCATTTTGCTCTATTAACTTGAACAGCAGTGTGTCAGGATGATGCAATGAGTCAGCACTGACATCAAGTGTGAGAACACAGATACTGGCAACATAAGTAAAAGCAACATAGAACATGAAGAATAAAATTGTTCTACCTACCTTGTACATAAACTCTTGCTTGATGTTTATCTTTTCCTTTATAGTTTTCAGCTTCACACTCATAAAGTCCTTCATCTTCATACTGAATATTGAAGATCTTAAGAACTGCACCAGACATGCTTATCTCAGCAGTGGCTGGCATGGGTTCAAGGTATTTACTCCATCTGAGTTCAGGAACCGGACTTGAAAAGGTACAGTAAAGTACAAATCAGCATGTTCAAGAACTGGCTGTGAAATTGCAGGCTACAGAAAAGTGTTTGATGATGAAACATGTGTTTTCATTCCCTGGAATATGAAAGCAAACAGTGCTCTACAATAACTTTAAAACATACTTACTTCCCAAGAGCAAAACACTCCAGCGTCACATTTTGCCCCAGGAGAGCATACGTGTCCTTGAACTTCACCTTGATATCAGCAGGATATACTTTTGCACCTAACATGAAAAAAGAGATTCTCAGAAAAGGCATGGCAGAAACAAATACAGCTATCAAAACTTCCACAGTTCAAGAAAACTGTTCTTAAAATTCCAGACAAAATTCTTCTTTACAGTGAATAAATAGCCTGGCCATCCATGAAGTCTGATTCAGCACTGAACTTCTAATAGTAAGGCAGGATTGTTTTACTCAGCAACTAGTTATCTTACTCTGGACGGTAATGCCTAACATGTTTTACAGCACAATGCTTTAACATAAACTCATTTAGGTGCATTGGAAGTGTGATGATGTACTGTGCGTGTGGGTAGACAAAAGCCTGAGTCTTTGTTTTCCACAGGTTCTTTTACTGGATGGAATATTTTGAATTATTGTGAATTTAAGCTCAATATTATCTTAGTAAGGCAAATCTACAGCTTAATGAGGGCACAGGGATGCGAATGAAATCAAATCTACCTACTGGTGATCCCTGTAGGACTCCTCTTGCAGTTCTTCTAGATGAAGATCTCAGTGTGAGTATTGGCCATGGAAAATTTGGACAAAGATCAGTGATTTGTAATTACCCAAATTAAATCACAGTTCTTCACTGTAATATGGGAAATTTAACAGATAAAAGGGGCGCTGAAATCCTGATAATCAATTTATGAGACTCTAGTGACTGACAGTCTGAAGTGGCAAAAGGGAACTTGGTTATCATTTGGAAAACATACAGTTTTCATGAAGAAATGGCAGAGAATAATCTAGTGACACAAAGCCACATAGGTGTCTTGGGGGATTGGCCATGAAACACAAAGCCCTTAGGCCACTGTTGGATAGGGAAGTTCAACAGAGGAAAAGGATTTTTCATTTTCATGGGGGATTTCCTGGGAAAAAAATTAAGTCCTGAATCTGTTTCCCAACTTTTACATAAAGTTTCTGCTTTACAGTCATACCCCTTTGAACCAATGCCAAGACCAGAAAAGATATTAAAGATTTTGGGATGAGTACAGGGGCTTATCACGTAAAGGAGATGGGGACTCTGGGGATGAGAACTCTGTTCTCAATGATACGAAAGGAAATTCGTGAAAGAATCTGGGGAGATTTCCTTCACAGAGTTTTCATTGTGGATGGGAATGATTTGGACCTCTGTATCTGGAAAACTAAACAACATTATGCAGTAGCCATTATAACTTGCCATATAATTCTCCTCACAGAGCTGAAAGTAGTTATGAATGAGCAAAATTAAAATACAAACAGTTAGAACACTGCAGGTACATAGTTATTTCTAATAAATACTTACGATCGGACTGTGGAATAAGTGGAATAAATTTACTGAATACACTCTTTGTTATTGAAGGGCTGGACACAAAACACGAATAATTGCCCTTATCTGATGCTTCTACATTTGCAATGTAGAGGTTGCCGTTGGTCTGTGACACAAATCGTCGTTTGTCCAAAGCAATGAATACCGGGAACTCATTTAGAAGCCAGCGATAACTGAGATCATCTGGAGGAAAATATTTTCTAGTCAATATTAAAAACCAATACTATCAGCTACTTAAGCCATGGAATACTGTCTGCATATAAATTACTTCACACTGATTTCTGGCTTATAGATCTTTTCTTCGGGAGAGGCAGCTGTATGAGAGAGAATATACATGTCTCAGTAGCCAGCTAATACCTGTCTACACCGAACATCAGGGTACTGCTGCCATGACTGCGGATTACTGGGGACCTGGCTACAGGGCGCATGGCTCCCCTTGGGCACAGCCTTCCCACAGGAACTGGAGTGGGGTGGGAGGAGATGGGCAGCTGGGTCTTGACCTCACGCAACTGAGAAGCTGGGAAGCCCTCACCAGTCTTGCCGTTTAGACAAAACCTTAGAATATTTTAACTAGAAATATGACTCAGTTCTTCAGTTCCTTGCAATACTTAGACACACAGTATGAAAACTAAAATGTTATCCCATTTTACAAGGTAAAAGAAATGCTAACAGCCAAATTCACCCCTCACGATGGAACTGCAGATGCTTGAGGTTGCAGGTATAATCCCCGCAGAGCTCTTCAATAGCTAATGATGAGAAAAAGGCACTTCCAGAGCATAAATCACCTCATCTCTGACCCTCTGGGGGTGCCTACTGCTCTTCCATGATTTTAACAGAAGCCCACGATCATTTCTGTTGAGGTGACTGTTGAGTAATTAGGTGGAATGAAGCTGGGCCCTGTCCAAGAAAGTCTGGGATGACACAGTGACATGTCCTCCGGTCTTTCGAATGGTAGGCCAAGTCACCCCTCTATTATGCAGAGTAGTCTGAGTAATTTTATTTGTAGTGTCAAAACCTATTTGCAAATTCAACAATATCCTTTACATATGGTCAACTACAAGCATACATTCAAAATGGAAAACTAACCTCAACGGTGATTCTCAAGCTGCATAAAAGTTACTGTTTAAGTAAACTTAAAAGAAACTTTTAAAAATAAATATTGTCTTCTACTCTTAAGCAGTTGAAAATGAAGCACTTTGAGCTGAATTACCTGGGTAGTGGTAAGGGGGCTCACAAAGAAGCACTGCTCCAACACCTTCTCGCACTTTAACCTCATAGCGTTCCTCAGGTGGAAAGGGATCCAGATCTAGTTTAAAAAAAGTGGGGGAGGAAAACTGGGGTTTTCACTACAATATTTTTTTATTATTATTATTTTCAGCCCTGTAGAGAATAATATAGAAATACAACAATATATGGCAGATAGATAGATACCTGTGGACCCATAATGCCAGTTTTGCTCATTTTAACTTTGTCATTATCAAGTGCAATTAATTTTTTTACAGTATTTTAGTCATGATAATTGCAAATGCCAGAAAGAAAAAAGTGATGCAGATTGTATCCTTAAGAGTAGCCAGGTGAGCTACATTTGAAGAAGGAATCCCAGGAAGAAAGGAACAGGATCTTAGGTTATTTTCCAACTGGCTTCTCCAAAATGCAAGTTTAATTCTTTACTGTAACTTAAAGTGGCCTCTCTAAAATTACTTGGCTGTCCTCCCTAACAACTCCAGCAGCCAAGGACTGGTAAGCAGTTAGCTCAGACACATCTTTTGTGCCAGAGGTTTGGGACAGAAGTGGCTCAGATCCCAGGAGAAACCTTAGCTGACCCTCTTTAAACCATCAAAAGAGACTTTTGTAAAAGGATAAAGAAAGAAGTCCTTCATGGAGCTACGTATCATCCCACAGACTGTAATGGTATCTGCAGTGATAAGACAACAGTTGCATGAGTGACTTCAACTAGGTCAATAATTGCATTTTGCTTATTCTTTTCACTCTCATTCTGTGTATCCATTCTGAAATTAAACTATAAACATCTTGAGGCAGGGAACGTCTCTTGTGAAGCTTCTCCATGTCACTAAGCACAGTGAGATTGTAGAGATCCTGATTGGAGCTCTGCTCTAAATGCTACTGTGGTGTAAACAGTACATCAGTAACAGCCAAGTGCGCAGCCTCTGAATGCAATATTCTACCACAGAAACCACCTAAGCTAACTTCATTCAGATTACTTCAGCTTTCTTCAATGGCAGGCAGCTACCCAGTTCTACTAAATTCCCAAAGCTGGCTCTGAGATCTACCTAAAGCTTATGTTCAAGAGCAGACAGCCAGAAACAATAAAGAAAAAATCAGGACAGAGCTACATACAAAAAGAAATTAAGTAGAAAACAGAAACTATTCACTACTGTAAATTGCAATGGATAGTTAGATCCAGCAGACACTCTGCATTATCTAAAAATAATAAATTCCTTAACTTTGTAACAACTGCTACATTTACTAAACATGGTACCGGTAAAGGATTCCCCCAAGGCCAACCACAGCTGTCAGACCTGAATGACTACAAGAATCTAGGAAGAAAATGTCATTACGCTTTGTCAAATGCATGGAAAAAAATCTCTAGGAGGTTTTAAGGATTTTGAGACTTCTCTCAGTAGAAAGACACCTCTCCCAAGTTCTGAAAAACTCATCTTTCTTGCAGACCAGAAAATAATATTGATCTTTCCAGTGACTAACTGGAACTTTCATTAGATAGTACCTGGTAGGAACTGGAATGGGCCATTGTAAGGACTTCTGATTATTATTTAATATAATTTTAGCCTGCAATGAATGTATTCAGTTCTCCATAACTAGCTCCCAATTAATTTGGAATATTATTCTTTGATAAAAAAGAAATTAAGTATACCAGACTGACTTAGTAAGAATTAGCTATTTGACCAGACAGGTTTTGTAATCGAAGCCAAGGAAGCTCTTGACATAGATTGGAATACCTCTGTTCATATAATATCTGCAGTAGTTTGAACATATTCCCATTCCATTTGTCGGCATGGACCTAACTACACAACTACTTTCTATCTTCAAAATACTGACTGATCTCTCCTGAAAACATCTATTTCCCTTGTTGGATACCTTTTGATCATCATTTAAACTTGCTACTATTATTCAATTCCACCTTCATTGGAAGAGATTAACGTTTAAAATCTGTTACAGAAACACATAAAAATAAAAAACTACAATCACTGGAACAAATCTGTTGTTAATTTGATACTGCTTTGCATATGGGCAGTGTAGGGTTTGGTGAAAAGAAAACCTATCACTGCTTTTAAGTTATTTTAGCTATTTCCAGTTTACATTTTAAGTCTAGACATTTTGTTTATAGTGTTCTTGAATAATCTTTGAAACTCTAGGACAGTCACCAAAAATTTAAAGACGTGGGATAGGACAGGCAATTTGAATATGTAAAACATTATGTTAGTACTGAAATAGAATGGTCTATGCCAGGTGCAGGGAACTCATACAATTATTGAGATTTAGTTGTATACCTTCTTCCCACTTATGAAATGCCCTGTACTCTGATTGGGTCTTGATGTCTTCTTTGCATAAGTACTACTTGGTTATTACTGAATAATTATAATAAGCATGATTCCATGAACTCTTAATTGGAAGACATTCATTTTTAGCAAGAATGAAAGAATTAGCATAATCTCTGCACTCCTACAAGTATACAGTTAATATCTAGTGAGTATGGAAATTTATCTCCCTTGTCATTCTTGCAGCCTCTCTGCTATGAAATTGCTGTGTTTTACTATTCTGACAGTTTCCCAGCAAACAGAACAATATATCAGCTGCTGATTTTGCTCAGCACACACCAAAAAGCCACTAAATATTCCTGCAGGATAAAACTCCTTCCCTCAGGAGTATACGTGTAACAGCTAAAAAAGATTTTAATGAGTTTTAAAGCACTGGATGCAAAAAGATCCAGTTCTACTAAAGACAGTGTTCTCAGATGGATTAATTGACATGAAGTTTATGAGACAGTGTGGCTTTTGTTCCATTTCAGTAAATTTGACAGTAAGAAAAAAATAAAAGGTCTTGCTCATGTATAGCTGGTCAAGATTTTTTTGAACTCTTCTAAACAGTTGTCATTTTTCAATCAGTTTACACACAAGCTAAAGAGCAGACATTTTCTATATTAATTTTAGCAACTATATTCAATTTTTTAGAATCAGTGGTTGTGGAAGGAAATGTTTTTTATAGGTGATCATAAAAAGGAGCGGGGAGCAAACACAACAGTGTAAAGAAGAATGACAGTACCATTTTTTTAACAAGTATTTATCAGTTTCCAGCTATCTTTTCACTTCTATTCCTCGCTCTTTACCCTATTTTCATTTAAATAGGTAAATACTATGTATTAGGGTTCTGTTCAGTATAATTGCCCAGTAATTCAACCTTCAGCTCATGCAACCTGTGAGCTGGTAGGCAGAAAACATGCCTCAGACTGTTCTGATTCTACTTTTTTCATCTATTATGTGTATAGGTTTCATTTTAAGTAGCTACAGCTATTGTCATAGCTTTTATCCCACTGGCTGCTCAGGACTGGCACCACTGGTGCCTGCTTTAGGTATAAATAAATATCCTGTAAACTGAATTTTGATATCATCTCCATTAGAAGGAAATAACAACCTGGCCTTCTATTCATTCTAGAAAATACACCGGGTAAAATACAGACTAAGACTAGATCAACTATTACGCAATCCATCAGCTCTCTACAGCCTCTTAAGTTTTCTTGAGATATGTGGTCCCACAGTATTATAATCACTAGCAGAAAACAGAACTTTTCAATTCATCTCTGATCTTATACAGTAAGGAGTGAATTCTGCTCACGGAGGCTGCTGAAAGACAAGAGGGGCACTAAACACTTAGTGTCAGGATTAAAGGGCACACAGGGCTTTGTGAATGGTCACCAGATAAGAGTGGATTCCTTTTTTTGTGGATTCCTTTTGTTTCTCCGATGAAAAAATATATCCAGGGAAAAAAGCATCTTAAGGCAAAATAAAATAAAAATCCCAAACTCTGTTGCCAGTTGGTAAAATTTTACATTACTCTTCATGTAGTACATCAGTTCTTTACAATGCATGTATTTGTCAACAGTGCAGGTCTGTGCATATGCATGCATTCACAAGACTAGCTCATGATTGTCAGAAGCTGACAGAAATGTCCCGCAGCAGGGTCTTCATCGTAGCCTAGGAATCAGGGAGCACGCTTTACTAGCGAGTGCCATGCCTTCCTCCTAAAGGCATCCCAGTTGTGTTTGCATGGCAGCAGTGCCTCATCACCATATGCCCCCACTTGTTTCTTTCTTCTGTGACTATTTCCCCTTAGGTCCTACCATGATTTAAAAAGAGTCTGGACATTATTATCTCAAGATCTGGCTCCATGAGTCTCTTCAATTAATAATTTAATAATAATTTACTGTGAAGGTTGTCACGTCAGCTGAACGCTAAGAATATAAAATGCTTACGAAACTTATTTCGTGTTCATCTCTGCAGACTAAGGCACTTAAGATTGTTTTTACAGAGTAATAGAGCTATAGCACGTTAGCAGAAGACACTGCAGTGTAATACATTGGGGATTTCAAGCTAACCGTAACGTTTCTACGTTTTGACATAAACATCGGCTTACATCCAAAACTCAGAGTGGCTTCACTGCTTCTGACAGTTCCAAAGATATTTGACACTACACAGACATATTTTCCAGCGTCCCTTGATTTTTCTGGATTATTGATAACAAGTCTGCCTCCCACCATACTGTAGCGATCCTTTGTTAAATCAATATCCCAGTTGTTGAGTTTCCACCTATTAAAAAAGAAAAGCCAGATATAAGATTTGGCCCAAAAAACAAACCTGGTAAGAAATGTGATTTGAAAAATAACTCATAAGTTGTGATAAACTATACAGGAAGTTATTAATATACTTCTATATATGTTTTAAGTTTTTCTTCAGCAAGAGCCACAGATTTGAACTCCATAGGTCTTTTAAACATAACGGCCTCAGTCTGCTTCAGCCTTCCCGGAGATGTGACAGAGGTTAAAATCTGCTTGCTGGCCATGCAGTAAAGGATGCTTGAGCTGGCCGTGAGTGAGCTAGCTAGTGATCAAGCACTGGGATTATAAACATATCCTCAAATAGTTATCTAAGGCCAAATTGGCTAAGAAAATACTCCCTCTGCACCTTTACAGTATAGACTAATGAAATTTTTAAGAGCTTTTTGCAAACTTGCTGTGGGGGATGAAAATGTTTTGTAATGCTTAACGTGCCAGTGAAGTCTGTGCAAAAACAGTGGCACACCTGATTTAAGATCTACTTACAACATTAAAAAAAATTGCTGGACACTCCCACCTAATTACTGTAAAACCCCGCAGCCAGTTCTTTGAGTCACTGTAACTTTCACTTCAGGGACTACGAGTGGAACTTGGTGGACCAGGTCTGGCCCTTACTGACTGCTACTGATTTCAACAAGGTTACAGAACAAGGAGTAGGAACCAATATTCATGATTCATAGCTATATTTCTATCTTTTACCGTGTCCACAAGGGGGAGCCCATAACCTTCTTTGAATGGAACTGCACATTTCCTGAGCACAAATAGGAAAGATGCAATTTAAAGACATTTAAAGATTATAAAATTCTTTCAGTGTAAATCATTTTTTGTCACAAGGTAAAGACAGGCATTAGTGTTTGAAAATGACAGCGCATACCCTAGTGTTCCTTCCTTATTGAAGATGTACTGAAATATACAGAATACTCATTTGGAAGCTGAAATTGCAATTGTCATAGAAAGAAACAATAATAAAAGTGGTATTAACAAAAAATAAATTAAAAATAAATTATGAAAAGGCAGGATTTTCAAGATGCAGTAAATATCATTTAGGTTTTACAGGATTTTAGAGGTATCACTTCAGTCCTGTGAGATATACTACATGTCTGTATTACAAATAATAAATCCCCTGTTCAGAAATACCTAGGAATAACTGTCATGAGGACCGCTTATGCTGCAATGAAAAAGATTAGGAAAACATTACACAAAATGTGTAACTGAGGAGTAAGAATTAAAAAAACACATTAAAAATCGTTTTCTTCTGAATTTATTAATTAAAAAATCAAAACATGATCATCTTTCTATGATATATCATCAAATCTCTTTCTCTGAGTACAGTATTACCTATATTCATTTGTAAAACAGGGTTACTCTGCAGTATAAAAAATTAACCTTAACAAAGATATTCAAGTGAGTGCACAACAAGCAGTCATGCAATCTGCTTGCTCAAACCTTGCCTCTTAAATGGCAGCTCCTCTGTTCCACAAAAGCTGTGTTTGTGAGTAACTTCATTCACATGGGCAGTTCTCACCAGGTTCAGCTGGACTTCTCACATGCATAGTTTTTCTCATACTTGAAAAGGCAGAGTAAGATGCCTCATGACACCCAATCGGATGCACTTAATTTAAAAGAAGTTGTCTCTCTTCAGAGCTGGGAACAAATCTTTGTATTTTTTTCCTATAAACTACCTAGCAGCTTGGGAAGGTGCATTAGTAAAATGTGTAGTTATCTACCTCTCTTCTCTTTTTCCAAGGCTGGTCTGAGTTTCTTCCAGCTGGGATGTAAAACTGCAGGAATATACATATAAAGATATCTATAGATGAGTTAGGAACAATACAAAAGGTTATATGTGAAGGGAGCCTACAGAAAGAGAAAGTGTTTGAAGAAACCTTAGAAATGCTAGAACCACAATAGACCTATGAAATCTCTAAAGATGGTAGGAAGACTACAGAAAATGGTCATTGGTAATCACCAGTGTGCATTTGTATAAAAGGTCATTTTGGGAGAAACAGCGCAGTAATCTGAGGTCCATGATTTGCAAACAGGACTGGGGACTAATGGATTCATATCCTGTCCCCATGAAAAGTATGTTGCCTTTCATAGTGTTGAAGGCTCCAGCAACAACTGGGGGAAAAAATAGATTCCCAGAAACTCAAATGAGTATTTGAACTCTAGCAAGGATGAAGGACCATCAAATACAGAAGGGAGAGTGGATGAATGCTTAACAAACAGTGAAAATAAAGAACTTCTAAAAGAAGACTAAGGTGATGTCAGAAAGAACAAAAGTGGCAGAAAGGACTTACCTACCTCTGAAAGAGGAGAATTTTGGCTCATGAACTGTTACAGGGCTAAGAAATGAAGACAATATATTGAGGTAGACTAAAATAATGATGTCAGGAAATAAGGAAAGTGTCTTTATCCTGTATTGTAATTATCATCACATCAGCTATCAGCAATAATTGGCAGATCTGTTCCTAGATAGAAGAGCTCTGGAGGTGTGAGGCAATTCTTCCAGAGTGACTTTACTAGTTCAGATTTTGCAGACCCCATGACAGATAAAGAAGAACACTAAAATTTATGTAGAGCCTGTAATCACTCTACAGATGGTATGTTTACACAGTCTTGCAGGCAGGGTGGGGGAGTCTCTGGACAGACTGGAAGTGATGAGTAAGTATATCAGAAGGGTACCGAATCTAAGTGTATCTCATCCCTCCACACTTCCAGGCCTTTCCAAGCATGGGGAGAGCAAACAAGTGCAACAGCAAAATGCCATGTAGAAGAACTTGCAAAGATACTAGAGCCAGGGATCATATTCAAAGGGGTTATTCTAGTTTCCCCTCAAATCCTGCAATCACAGGTGGTCCTGTATATGTAGACAACCTGTAGGTAGATTTAAAAAAAAGACAATGAAGACTAGCTAAGCTGTTTTGATGGAAGAATAACATAGTTGACAACAATATTGTAATAGATTTAAAAGAATGGCCAGCAGACTCAACTGCTTTTGCTGTCTTAGAAGCCAGAGTTTAGGGAGACGCATAAGTGAGTATCAGGGGCAGATCAGAGGATCATAGGACAATTTAATGAAATGGATCTCATTTGCTGGCAAGAAATTGCGTCAGCCCTTAGTATGATGACAGTAGTTTTCTGCCCATGACTAGGTTGTAAACTAGTCATGATCTTAGTAACGACAATCTTAAGTACATTTCTCTGTACATAATGAGTAGATAATAGCCAATAAACTCATATGGATGCCCCAAGTTCCCACAATGAAACAGAACTGCTCTGCTAATAACAACATAATTATTGTGAAAGAGGTCATGTGTGAATCTTTGCTAAAACTAGTTGAAACATTTTCCCAGAAGAAAGTTTTTCATGTCTTCAGTAGCATAGCTGATACATTCATGAGCACCTCTCTACAATATGGTGAACACAAAAGCAACATAGGATGTAGAATATCCAGGTTAAACAGCCAGTCCTTCTTCTTTCAGAGTAAAATAGGATAAAAAAGCCGTTCTGAATCAAGAACAAGGACTTGAACCTCAGTCATCCTTAACCTAAGCTAGAAAGATAGCCTCTTAATAATTTTTTAAAGGTCACTTTTTTTTTTGGTTTGCATCTGGATCAGTACTCCTTTCAAAAGCTGAAAACTTTTAACACAACAGGAATGTACTATTTTCAACACTGTCTAGACATTTTGGCAGATTGAATCAAGGTTGATTCTTACTAAAAAATTGCAAATCTCCCCATTTTTTCCTGCCTTGAAGACTTTGTATTGACCTGTTAAGACAGTCAATCATTTAATACCACAACCTGAAACACCCACTAAGTAAAATACATAAGACCTGAAAATCAAAACAAGAAAGGTTACCTGTAAGTAGGAAAAGGAATTGCTCGTGCCCTGCAGTTCATTGAAACTTGTCCATCTGAAGATTCTTCTGGGTAGATAGTATCAATGGGTTGCTCCTCAAAAACGGGTCCATAACCTTTGTTTCCTTCCTCTGAAAAATAGAGTTTGAAATTAATCACACTTAGGTATATGTATATGTTAACTCTCTCTCCTCCAAAACAAAATTTAAAAAAAAAACCATATCGGAAATGATTTAAGTTTGTAAAGTCAAGCACTTAAAGGTGAATAAATGCCAAAGAGGTTTGACAACAGACTATTTTTTTCGATTTTTATCCTCCATTTGCTGATGCTGTTGTAAGGGTTGCAGGCTCTGCCCTCCCCGGCTGCATTCCCTTCGCCTTTATCTCCTCCAAGCGTACAAGACTGTTCTTTGGGGTCTGTAAAAGCAAGACTAAGAGCAAAGGTGGAACACTATGGGAAAATTCTGTTCAGCAAATCCAGAATGTAACTGGGTTTTTTTTCTGTGAAAATGGTAAATGTGCACTCTAGATACAGAATGGCACTGTGAGAAGATGGTACATGCTGAGTATAGATAAAATCTTTAGACAACACAGCTGTCTAATTCTCACAGGTCTCTACTGAGACTGAACTGACAGTATGGACACTTGTAAGCAAACTCATGGGAAAAGCAAAGTAGTACATGACTGCAACTGCTACCAGGTTCACTTCCCATTCAATCCTTTTAGCTTAAAAATTTCCAAAAGCAATGGTTAAGGATGGAAAAATCCTAACATTTTACAATAGCATCTGTACTGCCCATAAAAAATCTGCTACGTCTTGTAATGCTACATTTAAAACATCTTCACAGATTGAGACATAAACTGGCAATGTAACAGATGAATGTCCATAATCAAGTTACACTTTTGCACTGATCCCCTTAAAATTCTTGCCTTTGGTTTTAAAATATTTTAGACTAAATTAGGCAGGTTTTATAAAACTGAAGAAAGAAGGAAGAATCTATCGATATAACTAAAGAATATAAATTATGTCAGTATTAAAATATCATATATATAAAAAACAATCCTTATGCAGATATCTTTTTCATTGTTCCTAAATTCCATATTCATAGATAGACACTGGATTACGGCACTGATTACACTGATTACAGAAAACTGGTTACAGATAAAAAGTAAGTTCCATTCCCAGTTCAAGTTTGGGAAAAAAATAAATCACTGTTTTCCTTAGGGACAGGAGCAGGTCCAGAAGGCACTGTTGTGCTGCAACAAGTATAGTCAGGTGTCCTGGTTTTGGCAGGGATAGAGTTAATTTCCTTCCTAGTAGCTGGTACAGTGCTGCATTTTGGATTTAGGGTGAGAACAAAGTTGATAACACACCCATGTTTTAGTTGTTGCTAGGTAGTGCTTACACTAGTCAAGGACTTTTCAGCTTCCCATGCTCTACCAACTGAGGAGGCTGGAGGTGCACAAGAAGCTGGGAGGGGGCACAGCCAGGACAGCTGACCCCAACTGGCCAAAGGGACATTCCATACCATGTGACGTCATGCTCAGTACATAAACCTGGGGGAAGAAGAAGGAAGGGGGGGACTTTTGGAGAGATGGTGTTTGTCTTCCCAAGCAACCATTAAGTGTGATGGAGCCCTGCTTTCCTGGAGATGGCTGAACACCTGCCTGCCCATGGGAAGGAGTGAATGAATTCCTTGTTTTGCTTTGCTTGCGCGCGTGGCTTTTGCTTTACCTATTAAACTGTCTTTATCTCACAACCCACGAGTTTTCTCACTTTTACCCTTCCGATTCTCTCCCCCATCTCACTGGGGGGGAGTGAGCGAGTGGCTGCGGGGTGCTGAGTTGCCAGCTGAGGTTAAATCACAACATCAGGCAACTTCATTTTTAAAAACTAATTCACGTCATGAGAAGAGAAGCCTTTCAAAGAAGCAAAGAAGAGCAACTAGAAAGGCAGAGCTTTTGAAAAATGGTCTGCTTTCTTTTATATTTTAAAAGTACAACACTATGTAAAAATCTACATATGGCTAGATCAAAAAAGTAATTTCAGACTGAAAAGGCAAGAATCATGTATGTGCTCAGAGCCTGGAATGACTGAGCCACAAACCTGACGGCAGTTTCTGTGCAGTTCTTGAATATGAATACAGAATAACAATGGTCTCTAGCAGCAAATAGCCATATCATATTGTTGTGGTTTAACCCCAGCCGGCAACTAAGCACCACACAGCCGCTCGCTCACTCCCCCACAGTGGGATGGGGGAGAGAATCGGAAGGGGAAAAGTGAGAAAACTGGTGGGTTGAGATAAAGACAGTTTAATAGGTAAAGCAAAAGCCGCGCACGCAAGCAAAGCAGAACAAGGAATTCATTCACTCCTTCCCATGGGCAGGCAGGTGTTCAGCCATCTCCAGGAAAGCAGGGCTCCATCACGCATAACTGTTACTTGGGAAGACAAACACCATCACTCCGAACGTCCCCCCCTTCCTTCTTCTTCTCCCAGCTTTATATGCTGAGCATGACGTCATATGGTGTGTGGAATATCCCTTTGGTCTGTTGGGGTCAGCTGTCCCGGCTGTGTCCCCTCCCAACTCCTTGTGCACCCCCAGCCTACTCGCTGGTGGGGTGGTGTGAGAAGCAGAAAAGGCCTTGACTCTGTGTAAGCACTGCTCAGCAGTAACGAAAACATCCCTGTGTTATCAACATTGTTCTCACCCTCAATCCAAAACACAGCCCCATACTAGCTTCTATGAAGAAAATTAACTCTATCCCAGCCAAAACCAGCACACATATGCAGCTGACTCTTTCCACCTTAAGACTCAAATGATGTTACAGACCACTTAGGCATCTCATGGCATGCATTTTTAATGCTGCCAGCACTACTCATTATACTGAGTGAACATCTGTTTCTCACACCTACCGAGTATGCCTTATAATGGCACTTCTGCTGGAATCTATTATGAATCTGGTTTCAGATGTCTGGCTGAGCAGAGAAAGATGCACAGACTGCATGTCAGGTGTGGCAACCAATAAACCTTTCATTCTCAATCGTAAGCTGAGTGTGGACCAGTGACATGTAAACAGCATGGGGGAGAAAAGAGAAGAGAAAGGGTTTGTGAAGAGATCAGCAAGAAATGTTCAAATTTTAAGTGAAGTACCATGCCTGTTTGACTAAGTTTGGAGAGTGAAGAAGGTACAAGGAAAAAGATCAGTTGCTTGAAGTTGTACCTACAAGAAAAAGGGAAGATGTAAAAGTAGGGAAGGGAAAGGAAATTGGATGCATTAGATAAACTGGGGATGAGAAGAAAAGCACATTTCGTCTGTTCTGGTCCTGCTTTAGACAAGAGGATGGACTTCATGACCTCTCAAACACCCTTACTGCCCTATTTTCTGGGTACATTTCTTGTGATTTATATTTTTAATTGGAGCAAAAGCTATCATCGATTTCTGATTATTTGAGGCATTCTTCAGCGAATTCTGCAAATGAGATTCAGACTCTTCAACAGTCCTAAAATGTATTAGGAAATCTTTGCAAAGGTCAAGAAAATCTCTACACAGCTGATGAGATCATGGCTCCTGTGTAAGAACCAATGCTGCTGGAAGGGTGGCCCTGTCACCCCCTTCTCCAAGCGATACTCTCCAGCTGGGCAGTGTCATTCTCCCTCTAGGTGTTTCTGCAACACCTCTCATGCTTGTCTGACTTCTTAGGTAGCTGCTAAAGCTAAAGAGAGTGGAAATTTATTCAATTCCAGCTTTCTGGGTTAGATTTCTGCCAGTTTAGTGAGGTGAATTTGTTCACTAATGAAGACCTGTATTGGTGCAAAGGGTGGAATAGGAGCAGGGGTATAGGCTTCCACCTTTTGAGTGGAAAAAAGTTGTCTTATTAACTGAACCATCTGAAAGAACCACTGCTTAAGTAAAACAGATATATCTGAAAGCCTTACCACTACTTGCAGGTGAACTACAAAATTATATTAGTACACCGTTATGTCCCTGCACAAGCCTGTGAGAGATCATAATATAAATTTGCAGATATAAGTTTGCAGATGACACCAAGCTGAGTGGTGCAGTCAACACGCCAGAGGGACGGGATGCCATCCAGAGGGACCTGGACAAGCTCAAGAAGTGGGCCTGTGTGAACCCGATGAGGTTCAACAAGGCCAAGTGCAAGGTCCTGCACCTGGGTTGGGGCAACCCCCGGTATCAATACAGGCTGGGGGATGAAAGGATTGAGAGCAGCCCTGCCAAGAAGGACTTGGGGGTACTGGTGGATGAAAAGCTGGACATGAGCCAGCAATGTGCACTCGCAGCCCAGAAGGCCAACTGTATCCTGGGCTGCATCAAAAGTTAGTGACAGGACAAGGGGGAATGGTTTTAAACTAAAGGGGGGTAGATTTAGACTAGATATAAGGAAGCGATTTTTTATGCTGAGGGTGGTGGGACACTGGCACAGGTTTCCCAGGGAGGTGGTGGATGCCCCATCCCTGGAGACATTCAAGGTCAGGTTGGACAGGGCTCTGAGCAACCCCATCTGGTTGAAGATGTCCCTGCTCATTGCAGGGGGGGTTGGACTAGGTGACCTTTAAAGGTCCCTTCCAACCCAAACCATTCTATGATTCTAAGTAAGACTTCATAATTTATTTTAGCAAATCTTTTCCAATGTCTAACAACGCTTACAATTAGAAGATTTTTCTTTTTAACATCTGAATTTTAATATCTAAAGATCTTCAACTTTTGGACCTTTTTGTTGAACTTTGTAATTTTACTAAAATATCTCATGTTAGATCTGAGTTTCATCTCGTGGTATTTTACCTGCCTCTTGGGTCTTTCCTCTTCTTAGTGAGAAATAATGAAGAAAAAATTACACCAAGAATATTTGCACACAACCAGTCATCTTGCTCTTCATGTGCAATGGAAGTCTTTAAACATAAATGTGATATTTACATTCTACATAGTATTAAGCAACTATGCCAACCTGTTACTACCATAGACAATATAAAACCTTGAAGTCAAAGTATCAATTTCAGTGGGTTAGAGTGCTGAGCAAATAATTCCTCTGTCGAGAGAGAACAGGGTTAGTTTGCTTGTTTCAACACCAGTCACACAAATCACTTTCAGACAAGTCAATTTATTTTATTATCACCTAATTCAGTCCTTACATGCATCTAATTTATTTTGAAAATCTATTTTACTCAT